ATTATACGCGAATTAGGAATAAGCATTACTTCCGACGATTACTCTGTTTATTTATTCACTGTAACAGCTGACCTTGGAAGTGACAGTGTTCTTTGTCGACTATCGGGATTTCCTTTTTGTTTAGTGGAAAATCCGGATGAGCAGAACTTCCTTGTGGTTAAGTGGAAACTAGATCGGCGTTGAAACCGAGCTATGATACCACTCACCCGTAGTTTCGATCTTTCTATATAAGGCGACGGAATGCGTTTACGCCGTCGGTTCACGAAGACGTGAATGTCGATGAGATTGGTTCGTTTCTCGAGCACCAGCTGTTTATTTCTGTTTTGTATATAGCTGTATGGATAATGCAAATGATGTAAACACGAGCGGCATCTTTTATTTTAGGAATAGAAAATTACCGTAGAAGGAAAGGCGAGGACAAAGGGTTAACGAAGCGTGGCTCTGTTGTACGATTATTTAATGAGACAGACAGCGTACATTTAAATGTGAATGGCTGTTTAAACTGCCTATTGTGACGTCACGGACGAGTCACTAGATAGGGCGTTCAACGTTGTTGATGAAAAAAAAACTCCGCTGCAACTTTGCCTTTTTTTTCTTGCGATAACTACCTCCTCAATCAGCTAAAATGTTTCTACGAACAGAAATGCGTGACGACAAAGCGGACAATTGCGTTATAATTGACAAAATTATTTTTTTGAGTAGCATTTTATTACGGACTACTTTACATAGTGGCGGATGTATTTCATTTAACGGAGCGGTGGGATAACCATAATGCATATTTATAAATGATAAGGGCTTCCATTCACACGAATCGATTTTCATTCATGAGTCAGTGTAGGCGGGAAGCTTTGTTTTGTAGTAGAGACGAGCAAAACTGCTTCATCGAATCTTGTTGACTCAGTTCCAAATTTATACTGCGCTCTCATAACACGCCTGAACAGACATTTCTCAGGCAGAACGCCTCTACAGTATGAGGACGAGGGCTTTGCTGAATATTACCATGAACAACGCAGTTCGGGAAGTGATGTGTATGGAAAACAGCACACTGGCGAACGTTTTGCAGAAACAATCTGACGCTATTTTACTACTGGACTGTCGACCATTTTTAGCGTACAACTCTCATCACATCGCAAAATCACAGAACATACACTGTCCGACTATACTTAAGCGGCGCTCAAAAGGTACTGTGTCTTTGGAAAACATTGTAACATGTGAAGAGAGTCGAACGAAATTACTGAATGGTGTCTACAAATCGGTGGTAGCGTATGACCAGCATACTAGTACATGCGAATATGATCACATCCCTAAAGACTGTGATATGGAGTTGATACTACACAGCTTACTACAAGACCCACTAGTTTCAGCCGACTTATATTTCCTGAGAGGTGAGTTTCAATTTTATATCTTAATATCTATGTATGTACTGCGTTTTAATTAAATACGCGATACTTTCTGCTACGTTGATTATCGTGATGGGAGATCATAAAGCGAATCTTTCCTGGTAGAGCTTTGCTGCCTTTATCAATCCATATCATATCGCGTACCAGCAAAATACAATACGCGTCTACCGAGTATTGAATCGTCCATTTATCCACCCCCGATGATGTTGATATTTACGTTGCGAAATTTATCGCGGGAAGGCGGAAGTAATTGTTAGGTTGTGTCGCTGTTCATTATGATCTCGCTTGATACTAACCCATTTAATGCGTAGTAGTAGTCGCACCCACCAACTTGACACAGTCCTTGTTCGTAATGAATGGAACTATTCATATGCAAATTACGCCATTAAAACCGTAGACGTAGCACTCGTAACGATTATCCAGGAAAAAAGACAATAATATCGTATATTGTAATAGAACCCACGGTTTGCATTAGGCAAATACGCAGTTTATACTAGTATTTCATTTGGCCGTCTTTTAAACATGTTTAATTTTTTTGCCATTGGTGTAAACCGACACGTGCCGTCAAAGCGAGCCGTATTTTACCTTCATATCACGGAGACCGTACTGGCATCGCTTTTCGTGGCTTATGCCTATAACGCAAGCTGTGGAGAATACTATTATGCTAGATTCATAGTATTATATCAGTATGCATATTGTATCCCCTCTTTGTAAATTTTGTTGAATATTTATATACTATATATGTAATATTAAATAATCATTACCGATGTATTTAAAATAAACCCAATATTCTCACTGCTTCGCATACAAACCATGGCTATTCGATTAGTATTACCGGACAACAAATATAACTTCTAGTCAATTTGTTTCCCAAATTTAATATGTGCTATAATTACGATTTTTCATAAGGTCTTTCGTTGGCATTCGATCCATTAAAAAAGAGCGTACCAATTATGATGTTTTTTTTGTTTAAAAAATGATAGTATATATTTTTCATTTCACCCACTACGAAAACATGCAAAATTGTGTCTTTTTTAAAGTGCTACAATGGGAATTAATGTTTAACATAATTTCATAACAAAGAAATAGTATTCGTCAGAATTTCGAGACCACTATAAATACTCTCCTTACACTTGAATATGATTTATTCACCTTTTTTTTTATAACGAAGGATTTTTACCATAATAAATTGCCCCCAAATCGCGAGTGTTGGACATATTATTTTTTATGAAAAAAAGTTCGGTCATCATTCCTTTTTATTTGATTATTTGTGAGCAACACCATGAAATATAGCCATATGGTAAATATAAAAAAAACCTGGCGAGGGGCAAGAACACTTTAGTTGTTTATGTCATTGTTTTTTTTTTTTTTTTTTTTTTTTTTTTTTTCAAAAAAATTTTAACCCAAAATTCCCCCCCAAAACCCGAAAATGCCACCCGTTTGATTGATGGGCATCTTTCAACTACCCGGATTTGTTAATGGTTATTTTGAAGGGAACCCCCAATCCCGTCCCAAAGTCCCCGCAAAACATTATTTAACCCGGGGGGTGGGTATAATTTACACAATGTTGTAAATAACTAAAACATTGAACAAGGTTTGAAGTTGTTCAAACTCAGTAAAAAATGGAAATTAGCTTCCCAAATAAAAAAATAAAAACATTTCATTTTATGCTCCGGAGAAGCGGTGTAATGCATAGTACTTCCATGACTGCAAAGTCTGTCACAGATAGTCGCTTGCAGTCAAGGCGATTCTTGTTTTGTCAATACATGTATTCATTAATTTGTTCAAATTACTGTCTGTTTTATTTATTTTTTGGATTTTTATATACATGTTATTGTATTATTATTGATAAACGCCTTTGACACGTATATTTAAAAAAAAAGACTAGCTGCAATTGTTGGATTCATGTAATACATGCTACGTATGAACTTTGTTATACCTCAGACTAGTAATAGTCCGAGGTTATACCCAATATGGCAGCATGCTAGGCCATATTCAATATCATGCATATGACAAGGATTTTTACTCCAACAAAATACATGTATAATCTACCGAATTTGTAGCTGCACGTAACCTGTACTATCGTTGTCGTAAACTATTATCACTTTACGACATCTAAATGTAGCTTTTACTAGTTTACGACGCATGAATAAGAACACATAGCGAGAATGAGAATGTAAACTCGCGTGCGTGTATTCATTTGGCACCACATACTAGTACTAACTGTAAGTTACTTTATTTTCACTTGGAATTATTTTTGCTGGAATGAATGAATCAATAAAACTAAATCCAGTGAAAATACCCTTTTCCTACTTTTTGCATACTCATCAACATTCAATGCATGGAAATAAATGTCATACAAAACAGCAAAATGTCTTTTCAGCGGAAATTAATTTCGGCTAAAGTATTTTACAGTAAATAATTACAGCCTATTATTACACAGATTAAAAAAAAAACGATATAAAAATCATAATTCATGACCCTTTAAATAAAAGGTTCAAACAAACCAAATTCGGATCAAAATAAATTACTTATAAATCTCAGCTTGTATGGATAAATTATAGATAACATACACGGTAAACGAATGTGACAGAGAATCGCTAGCAACGGCTGGAGACTAAACAGAGGCTATAGGGCAGTCCCATCATACGTATTATCTCTATCAGTTGCCATGGAGATAATGTAACATCATGATTCTTCCTTCTTTCGTTGTCTCTTGAGAGCGATGTATTAATAGTACAGACTTCCTGCTTCAGTTTCAGTACGGCGTATTATTCGTTTGAACGCCTGGGTTATATATACCTGCATAATGTGTTCAATATTAAAATAAAACGATCGAAATCTGTAGGCAATAAAAAATTATGTCCATTTAACGCCAAACTAAGAAAGAAATTATATAAAAAATAAAGAAAAATGTGCACAAACTTGCATCAAAATGTGGGCGGGAAAAATATAGCGTTTGAAGGGTTGAAGATGAATATGTTTGTGAATAGCAATCTTTATTGAAAAAACGGAACGTATGTACCGTATATCAGGGACTACCAGGACACAGAAAAAATTATGCTAAAAATACAATCGAATCAGACAGGATGTACACGTTTCTGTTGTATTGTAAAAGTCTGCTACTGCCTTCCATTTTAATATTCCACATAATTGATTGTTTTTATTGACACCTGACACGTGGATATTTCCGCGTGCATTCACGGGTGTACGCGCGATTGCATCGTTACGTCCGTTACACTCCATATTGCAGAGAGTATGTGAATTATAATTCAAGAAAAAATTCAAAAGTTTAGATGATTTATACTCTATGATGTAATATTAAAAAAACCCTCAAATTTGCATGTAGTTTATGCAAAAAATAAAAAATGTGTGTGTCAACTAAAAAAATCAGCTAAAAACAATTCACAGCATTTAATAGCGCGCGCTTTCGAACTTTGTGTAAACAAACCATAAATTGTACACGCGATGTATACAGCATATGGGACAATACAGTCGTAACGTGTTTGACTATTTACATATTATAAGGAATCTTGCAAAACACTAGTAGTTTAGACCAGTGTTTACAAAGACGTGTGAAAAAGGGTATTTTTCACAGAGAAATCGCGACTATCTGAATAGTTATTCGCAGTGTAAACAGAGCGTAACCAAAATTGACAATAATAAAATGTATATTTAGAAAAATGTAGAACTAACGACCAAATAAACTAATTTGACACACACGTCAGTTCCATAATTAGATTTAAATTGAAATAATATTGATTAAACTGCAAATATTTAAACTCGGCTTGTGAACATTGAAACACATGTTGGGAAAATCCCACACGGCTCTGCTGTCACGTGGTGTGTGAATCAGCAGATCTATATATTACGGATGACGAAAACGAGTGGCGCTAACTGCCCACGTTATCGTCCCCACAGCATAGGCTACGTTGTAGGCTAGTACACGCCGACACCGTTCGATCCTCTTGACTCGGAACATTAAAACGCGTTCCATAATATGAATCATTCGAAAACCTTCAACCACACCCGATGACGGTGACCGTGACGTATGGCCTACGTACGCTTAATGCCGAGATCAGGTTGTAAAATAACAATATCGAAGCGAAGATGAAGAATTTGTGAAAACTGAAGAACAGTTTTTCACTTTATTGGTCAATCGCGGGCATATACTGTATATCACAAATTTGAGAATGACATTTATTTATACAATTTCACCGAGAAACGACATAGTGTGGTACCGAAATATATAATCTTGGCGATCCAAGCACACTCTATGGACGACTTATTTCAAATTCGCGAACATGCAAATGATAAAACAATATATACACGTTAAAAAAAAAACTATTGAGTATATTTTGTACAGTCCGACATATTTGGTAAATATGGGCATCATTTCGTTATGATTTATAGCATAGGAGTGGATGACAGATACTCCAACTCGTAAATTGTTATCCGGCATAACCAACAAAATATTTTGGAGAAAAAAATAGAAAGTGGTGATCGCGAGATGAGACGCGCATTCATAATGAGATGCGAGAACTAATAATGAAAACACAGTATTATCGGATATGATTAAAATTCAGTCTTTTTTGACCGAAAATAACAAGAGCTTTTCAAAAAATGGCGTTCTTTTAAAAAAGTTTTTTTTTTTCAATATAATACATTTTCATCTGATTATGAACTATCACGGGCAATCGCCGTTTTTATAACTCTATTCTATTGTAGAATATTCCTATAATCCGAATACCTGCCTTATATCAGTATATCGACTTGTTTACACTTTTTCTTCATACTATGGGGGGGGGGCATTGTGCAGTCACTGCTCAAGGTTTACTTTGAAAAGTACATCAAAAATAAAAGTAAAAAGTAAAAATTATTGCGCAAGCAATATCGTGTCTTCTCAAGCAGTGACTAATCGTTCGCACATGGGAGTCGATAAATTCATTCATTTGAGAGGAAGCGTCAGATCGAAATATGTAATTGTTCAATAATATTTATCCACGATAAAGTAAAGAATTACAAGTATAGCATCGATTCGCGTTTACAGTATAGTACGTTGAATTGCACCAGTAAATAATTGCGTCTTTTAGTTCAATGGGAGAATCAATCAATTAATAAATTTATCGACAAACCATATGGCCAACCACTAGCCAACCAACAACAGAGACTATTTAAATATATGGTCACGGATTACATTTTTAACAATATCAACGTGTATACTATATCTTATACTCTCCATTGAATGATACACAGCTGCTTGTTTACTATTGTACTATATAATGCATGCTTTGGATTATTAATTTGCATAACACATATCTGTGAAACAGTTATGAAATGAACTATCGAACTATCGGACGTTATTAAGGGGAACAGGCGTACAACCATGGCAACATGGCACCAAAATCAGCACGTAATTTGTGGGTTGGCGATATAATTTAGAGAATGGTACGAGTCGGTATCTGTTCAAAACGATCAAATCGAAATTATGAAAATAGTGATGATATCATATGATTTCATAATGTATAAATAGAAACATTGTACCACTCCTGTTTCGTTATTATCGTTTTTCTAGTATTTTATATCCAATGACACAATTATGACACTCGTTACGTTGCCATCGTTACCAATAATTACATCAGCATTCGCAAATTTGGAGATTTGTATTTTCGTATTCACAAATATTTTGAAAAAATGCCAGCAACAAAACCACGACGGGTCACGTGGGTAGCACCTGTGACTCAAATGAGTAACACGTTTTGAGTCATATTAGTGTCACCGGGTACCACCTATGTTGATTTCCCGTGAACTAAAAACGGTGTTTTATACTCGTTCTATGAAATTTTCAAATACTCACGTGCTTTGATTTGTTGGTACGTACAATGATTATCCATACGCATGCGTTTTCATCAAAGACTGTAATTTTGTAATTTGGTCATTTATGTTCCATTCATATTGCATCTTTGACTATTGGTTTCACACAAAACTATGAAAATGACTTTATTTTTTGCGTACATCAAAAAATTACTTTGTCAGTTTAAGGGCACCACCGCGCTTTAAGTTGCCAACTTGCGTCTCGAGATCGATGTGATTGGAACTAGTTATATGAAACTGTGTTTGCGAAGGCGCGCAGTTTGGCTAAATACAGGCTGTGTAACGCAAACTAATTTTTTAAGAGAATACAGTTTTTCCTGTCTTGAAACAAGTAACTTTTAAATCGCCCTTTGGAATGAACGAACTGATCTTAGTACCGATTGATATCACGTGGGTGTTCACCTGATATTACCCACATCCTGAGTGGTACATTATACAGGAAGCGAAAAACGGAAATATAGACGTCAGTTTCAGTAACGAGGCAAATTTGGATTTTGTTTCCGACTTGTCATATCAATTTCCGAATAACGAAGTATGGCGTCCGATCATACTCAGATATAGTTGACAAAAATACACGTGTACATGGCCCAGTCACGGTGATTCAGAACTGATACTCGTCCGTCGGAGAAACGCCCCCGACCACCACCTGAACATTTTGCATATATTAATAATAAGTGGTGATTATATTACTGGCGTTTTCGTCATCAACCCGACTTTATTACTTTAGATCTATTAATCGATCCAATCCTTTGACATTTTGACACAAAGGGGAATACACTTACAATCGGAAATCTATTCTAAGTTCATGATGTACGTAATCAAATTTCAGTTTTCAATATTTTACATATTACTAGTACTTAAGTTTATAATAATAGAGTTATAATAGTCTAGACTAAACAGACTAAAATATTAGTTTAACAATAAATTACACTGGAAGTGATGACATAATTTGTGTCATCATTTCTGTCTTGTGAATTTGTCTAGAATACTTACCTTGTAGTTTCAGTGAAAAATATACTCATTTCGGCGAGGGTGGGTATGTCAGAGGTTGCGTGGGGAGGGTTTGGGAGATGAAAACCTAGCGTGGGGGGGTATTTTTTTTCGCTTACTTGTATGATATTTTTGTCCTAAATGGTCTGGATCATATATTCAAGTCCTACGTGTATGTGGCTTCATCGCCTCCTAGGAAATTCAGTTTGTTCATAACATCTTCTAAGTCCGTCACAGGAGTTAAACTGATCTACCTCTAACTTTAATAGACATGTCAGCACCCAATCATTTCAAACCATGTGACCCATAGAACAGGTGGTGATGTAGATTACATATGCGCTTCGAAACAATTAAAACCTATATACATGTATTATGTGTCTTTAATGATCTCGTTCAGTACTTCCTGTTTACGACCTTCGTTTTGTTGCGATTCGCAAGAGACGCGTAAAACAATATCACCACAAAGCGATCACCATAAAGCGTTCACGTATTAATGACGTATAATCATCAGAATATACCTTAAAGTCGAGATAAACACTGGATGACCCGGCCTACGGAAGATAAACACGTAACAGGCGGGAGGGATCATAAAATTAAATTCCTAATTTTCAAAATGTAATTGTTAATAAAAAAATTCACACGTGGCAGACACGTGTCACGCGTGTATTGACCAGTTGTTGTCTCCATGTATAGGACATGCTTCTGAGAAATGGTAACATTTTGCGACCGTAAGGACGAGAATGGTCCAATTTTAAAAGGTTAAAACAATATAGTTTCTTTGTGCTATCAGCTATCAACAAAACTGGTCAAACAATGGTTTGAAAACAACATTTTTATCACACAATGCCTAAATTTGGACAATACATACCCTGAAATGAGAGAAATGTCGCCGCGACATTTGTCTCCCAAATTGTCATTGGAAAATTGAATAAACACATGGACCATACAATATTCTACTACATACATGCTGCGTCCAGCGGATTGTCGGTAACATGTATATATATATATGGTCGTGCCTAGAAAACAAGGGCAGATACAGACAGTGGCCTATCCAGCAAAATGTATTGGGGGGGGGGGGGGTCCAAGCTACGCTTAAGATATACGGACCGTAAATCGCAGAGAAGCTATGCGTAATCCAGATGATACGAATCGTCATGCGTTTGGGGGGGGGCATGGCCCCCTGGCCACCCCTCTGGATCCGCCACTGGATACAGACTAACCGAGGCGCGATCGTCTCGCTTGCTGTTACGAACGTCCATGGCAATTCATAAGACATTCGCTTGACTAAAAGTGTTAAAAACGGCGTTTTCAACGGAGAAAGGTTGGACATATGTGCTGCCATATTCCTCATTTATGATTTATACAGTTTCTATGGATATCCGAAACTGGATATTAGATTGTGTTGAACATCTTTAATTTTTTTTTACAATAACCATTAACGTAAAACGTTATAATAAAAATCAGTATTTTAGAGACCACGACCATTTATTACTCTATTGCCGACTTTAGTGCTAGACAATCCCCTTACACTTGTAAGGACGCGGAAATGTAGGTCGACGTGTTTCCTGTTTTTGATTTCTTCAGGGCTGTCTTAGAATTTGTCTTAATTGAAAACTTGACTGAATAGTGTAGTTGCAAAGTATGTTTACGTGCCTTCCGCTACTAGTTCCGTATTGATATAGACTCTTATTTCGATCTCAATACTATATCCTGGCAGAGTAGTGATTCAGAAATATTGAGTACTGTAAGATTAAATAGATTTGCTCACATGGGATAAATATTCAAACAGGATTAATAAATTATGCACATATTGTTATTTGCAGGTGGTTTCGACAAGTTTTCAATGGATTTCTCTTCACTCTGCGTTGGTCAAGAATGCGAAATAGCTTCTGCCGTTCCCATGGAAATAATCCCAACAACGTCTCTGGCAAAGGACTGCTACTCTGACCCGATTTTCGACCAAGGCCAGCCAGTCGAGATCTTGCCTTTTATTTATCTGGGCAGTTCCTATCACTCATCGCGAAAGGATATGTTGGACGCACTCGGAATTACATCGCTCTTGAATGTATCAACGACATGCCCGAACTATTTTCCAGACGATTATACTTATAAACGTATACCTGTGGACGATAATAGTAGTGCCAATATCAGTGCTTGGTTCCTATATGCAACTGATTTCATCGGTAAGTATTGCCAAATAGAAACACATATCCATTTTTATGTCGTGTTAAACAATTAAAAAGTAAAATGAACACTATCAAATAATTTAGTATTAAATATTGTTTCATTTAATATTACACAATGATTACATACATGATTTATTGTGAAAATAAAAACTTTTTTTTATATATTATAACAATATGTATTTGTTCTTTTTGATAATGAAAAGATTAACTATGTTAATTCACATACACATTGTATGAATGTTATAAACAATACCGTTGTTATAGAAAGTGTGTTTTCATGTAATATTCTGTTTTTACCCTGCAGACTCTGTAAAAGTATCCGATGGAAGAGTGTTGGTCCACTGTCAGGCGGGTATCAGTCGATCAGCCACTATCTGTCTAGCCTACCTGATGAGGGCGCTCCACTACAGACTTGACGAAGCTTTTGAGTTTGTCAAAAGTCGACGTCGACTCATTTCACCAAATTTTAACTTCATGAGCCAGCTACTGAAATTCGAGTCTGAGACTCTCCCACCAATGACATCGCGTGATATGCAAAGCACGTCAACTGAAATATATTCCAAATCACCTCAGAAAATCGCTGTGACGTCACCACCACCTACATCATCCTCTGCATCTCCATTGCTACGGCAACGAAGACGTTCGACTGGCGCTACCCAATCGCCAATGAGGAAATCAAGGCGAAAATCCACCGAAGATAAAGAAAATCATTCCATATGACATGCCCAGTATCGGCCTTTGCCGATTTTCTGATCTGAGTTTTGTTCGGTCGGGTTTACCGATCAGTTTAACGAAACCCAACGACCTTCAGTTAAAGGGAGTGTTTCAAAGAGTAGAAATAACCCGACATCTTCATGAAGCGGAAGGTTATAATCGTATAATCTGTTAGCAGCAGATCAATATTCTGAAAGCAGAATGTGCTTTTGACTTTTTTTACAACAAAAGTCAAAAAACTAAATCATGTGTAACGGCCTTCATTTGATATGGTGTCTCAAAATGTAGAGCCGACACTAGCATATCAATACCAGGCAACATAATACGAATGGTGCATACTATGATATATATATATATATATATATATTATTTTATTAAACTCAATCAGCTAATATTCAATATGTGCCTTTCATTGAGAAAAAAAAAACATTTAACAACTAACATGAAATATTGGCGATATATCCGAAATCTTTTATATTAATTTGTATTATTTTAATATCACATTTCATTAAACCGAATATGTATATTTATTTATTAAAAGTTTGTATTTTTTCGTGATTTCAATCATGCATGCAATATTTATTTTCAAAGAGTACTTGGTTTTTAGTACAAATATAGTATTCAAGCAGTTAAAGTACAAATATACCAATTTCTGGTGTGTTGTAAGAGTTTTACATTTGACATGTGAAGAAAACATTTTGTTTATTTTTTAAAAAAGCGGAAGATCATACGTGTAACATGTTGCGCAATGTGACGTCACACATGTTTATAATCCTTATTTTAATATCAATTTGGATTTGAATATTATTCATTACATTAATTGCTACATTTCTCACTTTTGAATCATCTTTTCATTTTTATTTATGATGATATAATGCAGGTTAACCACAGTTAGACACTTTCTTATGGTTGGGTATTGGTACTAAATTATTATATCATATTCATTATACAATTTGTACAAATATATTTCTGTATGTACATGTATGTATTTATTTATTAATTTATTTATTAATTTATATTCACAATAATCATTTATTTATTTATTTATTCATCAATTTATTTATTTTGATTATGCAGACTTTTGCTCGCCGTCTGTTCGCCCCTCTCTTCATTTTAAGTCGTTTCCCTGTCTGGTTATATTTCATTTCCGACGCTAATTGATTGAGCCGTAGATGGCGCTTTCGCTAGCCATTTTTCTGTTTTAACCTTTGAGGGCGGTATCTTGCAATGAACCGTGCCACAAGAAGCTGAAATTGTTAATTTTATATACTTTATATACGCAAAGTTTATATTACGCATATTGTATTGAAATTTTATACATTGTATACAAGCCCTGAATAAGAAAGAATAAATCAGTGTCCCAGATATGTACCAGTGTGTTGGTCCTTCCTTTGACCGCTAACAGTATACATGTACATGTATTTTATTATCTAGCTCTGAAACTGACCAACGGTAATAACACAATAAATGTGATGACATATACTAATTGTTTTTGCATTCATACCGAGGGTTATCCGGTGAACAAAGTCTTGGAAATATTTTAAGACATGAAATGATGTAAATTTCACAATGAATAGACTCTGATCTTGAACGCAATTTTCATGACACAATATCTATGTTTCACCGTGAGATTGTGCAGATTACGGTTGCTGTACAGTGCTCACCGGTACATTCAATGAGATGAGATCTAATGATCTAATGCTGGTGTATGCCCGTGTGCTTGACTACATCTCTGTTTATTTGCACTGAATTCTATTTCTCGTGTTCACCCAAGACTATCGTATTCCATTGTCAATCAATTGATAATTAATAAAAAAATACGTCACAATAACTATATTTTCCGTGGTATAAATTGTATTAAATAAAAATCACGATATTAGCATGCAAATTCGGGAAAAAGTTACTTGTCAACTATTATTGAAAGTCGAGAACGATTGTCTGAAACTATAAACGGTAAATGCGCAAGTTACAATATAACTGTTAAGATCATAGCGTGAAAATACGTACGAAACTGATGTAACGATTAAAAGAAGCGTGCAAGGTCAGAAACAGTGGCTCGTAAACTCTCACGAGTAGTGGGGAAAATCGGCAAAATTTGCCTCATAAACTATAACAAAAGTAGCGCGCAAAAAGGGAAAGTTTGTCTGCAAACAACTACAATAAGCGTGTAAAGTCGGAAAAATAAGTTGTTTAAAAGTAGCGTTCAATGCAGGAAAAAGTAACCTGTGAATTAATTATTATGATAGTTATCAACTAAATCGTGCAAAAACAGTTACAACCTAACTATTCAAAGCAAAGTAGCGTGCAAGTCAAGGCGAGAAGAGATTTCTAAAACAAGGTAACGTACACAGTTGGTAAAGTTACCAACTAAACTAAACTATTAACAGTAGCGTGCAGAGTCGGTAAAAATTCCCTTTCAACTATTAACAGGAGCGTGCAAAGTTTGTAAAAGTTACCCATCAATTATCAACAGTAGCGTGCAGAGTCGGTAAAAGTTCCCTTTCAACTATTAACAGGAGCGTGCAAAGTTGGTAAAAGTTACCTATCAACTATCAACAGTAGCGTGCAAAGTTGGTAAAAGTTACGTGTCCACTATTAACAGGAGTGTGCAAAGTTGGTAAAAGTTACCCATCAACTATTAGGAGTAGCGTGCAAACTTGGTAAAAGTTTCTTGTCAACTATTAACAGTAAAGTGCAGAGTCGGTAAAAGTTACGTGTTAACTGTTAAAAGTAGAGTGCACAGTTTGTAAAAAGTTACCAGTCAACTATTAACAGTATAGTGCAAGTCGGTGAAAAGTTACGCGTTAACTGTTACCCGTCAACTGTTTACAGTAGCGTGAAAACTTGGTAAAAGTTACCCGTCAACTATTAACAGTAGTATGCTAACTGTTAACCGAAATTCGAGTTACGGGCAACATAGATTTTTTATTTTGTTTAACGTTTTATCTTTGCCGTAACTTGAAGTTCAGTTAACAGTTAATTAAAATTCGAGTTACTAAATGTGAACGTTAAGCAAAACGACAACATTATATAGATTAACTTTGAGGAAAACTTTTTTTCGTGTATGTGCAAAGGTCAAAGTTTGTAACAGGCAACGCGACGAACTATGTACACGAGGCAACTGGCTGTTGCTACGGGCAACCCGTTGCCTGAAAACCGACACGACGGTGTTTTGTGTATTGTGGTCTCAAGTAGCGTGCAAACTACCAATAGTAGTGTGTAAAGTCGAGAAAGATTGCCCATAAACTATTAACAGCAACGTAAATCTTTAATAAAACCGTCTGCGATAGATGGATGTCGACGACTGTCTATCATATCGCAGTCACTATCAGAAAACTCATCCCGATTTGATTTAATGTAATTCACTCGTGTGTACTAATACCACTACCTTAATTGGTTAACTATAAAACGTAATGCGTAAAGAGGGGAAGCTTTGTCTGTAAACTATTAAAAGTAGCGAGCAAAACAGAAAACAGAATAAATTGGACAACATTCAGTCTCTTCAAAACGCTACAGCAATTCTCACCACCTCTTAATTAAACGATTGTTCGCATACATCAATTGGATGTACCCGAATTGATAGCGTTTGCGCGTTCATTGTTTGTGCGCTTGCGCATATCGCGTGACATGGGGTCAACAAACCAGAAGGTAGGACCGTTGTGTCGTCACAGGAAGCGCTGTCTCAGCACAGACCCGTGTCATATGACGCCTTACTAGCCGATTTTGGCTAAAATAGCGCTCCGCCGCCTCTTTAGAAGACGCCGACCTGCAGCGTCAATGAGGTAGGACAGATTGTGAACGTTCCGAACGCGCAGTGCACCGAACATAACAGTTTCCAACTCGTTACGTAAAAAATCCTCTGAAATAAAACTGCCATCATTTTTTAACTAACTTGTACCTGCCTCTGAAAATTTGCACACTATTCTAAGCAAGAATAACGAGCATGCAAATTATCTTTGGCTATCTTTGGTAATATTTTTATACTTTTTGCAGGTATTTTGGGAGTCGATAAAACTATGTCACGCCCACTCACGGTCATATATTACTATGTGAAGCACACACGTACCATCTCTATTTCAGTCCATTTCCTCTGAAAAAAAATCATCTTTTTCAACTGGAAATCCACGTTTCTCGGCTGTCTTAAATAGTTCTTCTAGCTGCCCTCGTTTGTACCCACCTACACTCACTCCGCGACCTTTAAAACACTTTTTCTATATTTTTGTCCTACCCTCGCTCGTTACTGGATAGGTTACGCATGCGCAAATAGATTTACATCGCGTCTGACGGTAAGAATTCACAGGTTACCCAGTACATGCCAACACGCCCTCTCAGGTCATTTGAAGGCTCCAAGTTAACATTCAAAAAACAGTTGGCTGGCGTCATATTATGTCGTCGCTTCAGTTCTGTGGAACGAAATTCTTTGAAGCTTCGCCACAGCTCAACTATTATTCACTTATTTCCAAAGGCAACCTGAAGACTTTTTTTTCTGCGCAACGAAGCGCAATGTAATGTGCTATGTAAATACAATTGTTGTTAATAGAATTCATTGGGATTATTAGGCCAAAATTTGAAGATCTGAATAAACGCGAAATGCGGAAAATAAATAAATATTGTGGATCCTCGTGCGTAGAAAATGACAATCAAATAGGAAACCATTGCGTTCGCCATCTTTCAGGCATGCCGATTGATTATTGAAACTTTAGTACATATTTCATTCTAATTCGGAATATCAAATATTTCACATCATAGTCCCCAAACCCCATTACAAATTCATGTCCTCACTAAAACCCTGTGCGTACTAAATTGTTTATTTGTGTTTTGGGACTATGATGTGAAATATTTGATGATCTGAATTTGCGCACAATGAAAATCTCAGAATTTGTCAATGAATCTTTGTAAATCCTGCGCGTTGCAAGTGGTAGAAGGACTGTGCGCTAGTAAAACCCGAAACGAGCGCCAGCGTTCGGACACACTGAAAATCATGGTAATTTGAAAGTTTATTCCATATTTCCCACAATTGGCGCAATTATTTTGCATAATAGTCCCAAGACCCAGTAAAGCTCTATGCATGATCTCAGGGTGAAACTTTTATAACTTATAAAACATGATAAAACAAGATAAAATTGTC